GGCTGTGTGACCAGATGGAGGGTATTGTGTACTGCTGGCTGTGTGACCAGATGGAGGGTATTGTGTACTGCTGGCTGTGTGACCAGATGGAGGGTATTGTGTACTGCTGGCTGTGTGACTGCAAAGTGGTAAAAAAAACAACAGCCCCACAACCCAAAGTTACCTGAGTATGAGCACAGAGATAGCCACCAGCGTGTAGGCGAGCAGGGTCCCGATGGACATCATGTCTACCAGCTCCTTCAGGTTAAACATCATGGCCATAGTGCCTGGAGTACATACAGACAAATGACACAGTCATGCACACACAGACAAATGACTCATACATGCACACACAGACAAATGACACATACATACACACACACATACATCATGTCGACCAGGTCCTTCGGGTAAAACATCATGCCATAGTGCCTGCATAACACACAGACAAATGACACATACATGCACACACATACATGCAGGTTAGGTGTACTCCAACTAATATTGATCAGCATTATCAAGTAATATGAACATACAAACATGCAGGTTATTGATTAAGTAAAAGTTTCGCAGCATTTGCAACACAATTAGGGAATATAAGTACCCCAGATTAGAGGTGTTACAAGAGAGTAACAAATTAATACAAAAAAAGAAGGGGGAGAGATAAAGATGACAGATGTTTGGTAGGAAAGAAGGAGCAAACCACACTGGAGCACCCGCCAACCACCAACATACATGTACGTTATGTGTATTCCAGGTAATATTCATCATCATCATCATAATCATCATCATAATAATCATCATTGTTTGGACGAGTGGAGGTGCCGCTAAGCATATTGACAATGGAGCCGAAAAAGAGCCTCGCTCTCGCTTGAAGATTTCTTTGTGGAGTCCGCCAGGCCCATTAAGGAAACAAAAAAAATCATCATCATCATCATGTGGCACGCACACACATACATATGCAGATTACATGTTTTTCAAACTAGAATTCATCATCTTGATCAAGTGCCAGATCTGTGACAGACATCCGCGATCAGTGATCATGATTCACCATTCATTCCTTCACTCAGATGCTCTCATTAAAAAACTATCTATTTATTATCCCAATCATTCCCCACCAACCATCTGTTTACACTTTCCAATTCTGTTGTTCCTGGTCTACCACAGCCTGCTTTGCCTTTAATTTCAATACAGAGAGCTAGATGTTCAAGAATTGTGTCTATTCAAGTGCCTCAGAAACTGTAATTATTTATTCCGAATCAAATTGTTTTTAATTAATCAGCATACGGCCCACATGAGCATTGAGTAAGGAAAATATTTACATAAAGTAAAACCAGTACGTACATGATACATCATCATCATCATCATCATCATCATCATTGCCTTTCTCACCCTGCATCAGGGTATAGGCCACGGACAAACACCCTCCACTTTTCTCTATCCTGTGCTAGCCTCTTGGCTCTTGATGTTATTCCAACATGATACATGCAGGTATTAAATATGCACAGTACAAATATTCTAGGGATAAAAAAAACCACAAAGAAAACACAACAGCATGCAGAGGTGTGCGTTCCTTTCACAAAGTGTTAATTTAGAGAGTCTTCAGGCTTTCTCTAACACCAACAGATAGTTTGCGGGTGTTCACTTTTCAAAATGGCGTATGGCGGAATCTTAACTCTTTCAACCCCATCGGGCGCCGGGAGCGTCCGGCGGTAATAATCCTGTTCCCCATCCGACGCTGGGTCTGATACTAGCCTAGTGACAACTGTTTCGTTTTATTTTGCGCTAGGCGTAGTTTCTTCTTGTCTTTTGGAACTATTTCCCATCCAAGTTTTTTCGTAGGCCTAATGACAAAACTTTTGTTTCCTTCATTCAGAAGTTGGAGCCAAGCTTTTGACAATGACAATGACAATGACAATGACAATGACAATGACAACTACAACGACAATGACAATGACAATGACAATGACAATGACAATGACAATGACAATGACAAAATGACAATGACAAGGACAATGACAAGGACAA